CACAAGGCTGTAGAAGCTGACAAATCAGGTCAGATGATAGGCTGCTGGTGCAAGGGGCTGCGAGAGCTGGCGAATCTCAGAATTGGCAGGTCAGACAGCAGGCTGCTGGCAAAAGCTCGAAGAACTGCAGGTCAGGTGATCTCGAACTGGATGCGGGATCCAGAGTGAGAGAGAACTTTCCCACAGCATTCATATCCATTTAATGCAGACCACACTCTCAAGGAAACTCCTCCTACTAGAGAAGGCGGTGACTGGAGTCACACCCTTTAGTAAGGGTAGAGACTGGGGTAAGTGTGGCGACTTGAGTCACACCCTCTAGTAAGGTAGTGACTCAAGATACATCCCTAATCCTGCCTCATTAACACAACCACAGGCATATAGGCTAGGATTCACTACACATCACAAAATGGAGAATAATTACATCAGATCACAAAATGGAGGGAAAAACCATACAATACTGGGAATCATGGCCTACCCAAGTTGACACATAACCCCAACCATCACAAGTTCCATATACCTTATTTGGCATGGTCTCATTCAATCATTGTGTGTGAGTCACAAAGACTACGGCTAGAAGGGCTGTATTAAGTAATTCACTGCACTGCAGGGACAAAAAGAACGAAGCATTAGTCTTGTCTTCCAGTTGCCTCCTGGCCATTTCTAAGAGGCGGTCTTGACCAATAGGTGGCTCCCAAATTTTTATATAGGAGGGGCTGGTTGGAAGAAGGTTTGAAGCTGTGTTTACATGTGATGAGAAGCCCTGGTGGCACAGTGGTTAAGTGCTCAGCTGCTAACTGAAAGTCTGCACTTCGAACCCACCAGCCACTCCTTGGGAGAAAGATGTGGCAGTCTGCTTGTGTAAAGATTACAGCCCAGAAAACCCTGTGGGGCAGTTCTGCTCTGTCCTATAGAGTCACTATGAGTCAGAATCGACTCGACAGCAATGGGTTTGAGTGTTTTTTGTTTTTTTTTTTTTGGTTTTACATATGATTAGAAAAATGTCAATTTTCCACACCAAAGGAGGATTTATGGAAATTATAAAACCTACCAACCCACTTCTTAGCACTGTCACTATCCAGACTTCACTGCAAGTTCAGCCCATTAAAAATGGAGCCCAGCATTTCCCCCTTAAAACTTGCTCCTCACCCCTTCCCCAAACTTCCCCATCTGTTTAAGGCAATATTTTCCTTGTCAGTCAGGTTAAAAATGCCAGAACTATCTTTAATTCTCCTCCCCAGCTTTTTCCCTCCCAGTACCCAATTAGTCACCAAACCCTATCAATTCTTCCTTCATAATGTCTTGGAAGCTTTCTTCTATTTTTTTCTATTCCAGCAGAACAGAAATAGAACATGAGGATCTGGCTCCCCAGTCTGGATGAGAAGAGGGGAAACACACACCACGTACAAGTGAAAAAAATTGCATAGGAATAAGAAAAATATCAAGAAATGCAAAATAATATAGCTCCAAACAAGCTTTATATGCAGATCCTGAAGCAATGGCTGGCACTGCATGTCTTGTAGAAAGCCAGAGCAGCTGGAGTCCTTCCTCTATATTCAAGGGCAGTGCTGAGGCCTCTGGGGTCCAGCTCAGGCCACTCTGATGATTGCAGCCGCTACTCTTTAGGATTAGGAAATCTTCACTTTCAGATTAACTAATCCCCACCCAGAGCACCAAACCCAAAACCAGACCCACTGCCATCGAGTTGATTCTGACTCCTAGTGACCCCACAGGTTTCCAAGGCTGTAAATCTCTATGGAAGACAACTGTACATCTTTCTCCTGAGGAGCAGCTGGTGGTTTCCAACTGACGACCCTTCAGTTAGCAGCTGAGCGCTTTAACCACTGTGCCACCAGGACTCCTTACGTAAATACATCTTGTTGTTGGGTGCCCTGGAGTTGATTCCAACTCATAGTGACGCCATGTGACAGAGTAGAACTGCCCCATAGGGTTTTCTAGGCTGTAATCTTTATGGGAGTAGATGGCTGCGTGGGTTGGAACTGCCAACATTTCAGTTGGCAGCCGAGCACTTAACTGTTGTGCCACCAGGGCTCTGTGTATGTATTTGGGTGTGTGTGTACACTCAATCTAAACTAGTCTCAGCACAATTTATCAAGAGTATTTCATCCTAATTAAAAAAATTTTTATGTTTATACTTTACCCTCACCTGGACAGCTCCCGCTTTTGATTCTGACTGTCCCTCACTCTCCCCGTAACAACCAGCACAGCGTTGCACTGTTTGTAGTCTCTGAATTCAATGTCTGTTAAATCATAGAGCCTCAGAATTTTAGAGTCAGAAGGAATCTCTTCTCTAATCCTTTACGGATGAAGCAACAGGCTTAGAGAAAGTAGGTGACTTGCCCAAAGTCAGAACTGGTTAGCGAGAAAGCAAGGGCCAGAACGCAGGTTTGCGCCCAGGTTCTCCCGCTTGCAGTCTGAACCCTAAGCTGTCCTTAGATAATCAGTGACAGAAATATCTGACTTTACACAAGGTCTCCTGGGGATGGTAGTGGCGATGGCATGATAGGCTTCATTGAAACATTTACAAAGATTCGGTTCTCGACACTCCTAAGACTGCCCGAAGGAGTAACTTCTCAGCTCCGTGTTGAGCAGTCACAAGTTCCTGCAATACTTGTTTGAGTGTGTCGGCACCGTCTCAGGTTCTCCTGACCCGAGGGCGACCCAAAGGCCCCCAACGCAGGGGCTCCCCCTCCTGCCCCTTCCCCGGCTGCCGGCTGTCACGGCGGCGGCGCGGCCCGCCCCCACATGGACTCGGGCCGGGAGGATGAAAGTCTGAATGCTTCCCGGTCCCCGCAGGTGTACGACGGTCTGCGGGTACCCGCAGCGCCGGAGCTGGAACTCCGCGGCCCCCAAGGGTCCCGCCGGGTCCGCCCTGCCCTCCCCCTCCCCTCCCCCCTCCCGCTGCACGCGGCCCGCGTCCTCTCCCCTCCCCCACGACGCCCGGCGCTGCACCCGGCCGCGGCCCCCGGCCCACGCCCGGCTCCTGGATGGAAAGGCCGGGTCCCCTTCGGCTGGAGTCGTGACCCCGCCCCTTCCCGCCCTCATCGCGAATCTACCCAATGGCGAGCGCGAATGGGCGAGGCGTGGCGGCTGTCGTGAGGAGGTCCTTGGCCAATAGGGAAGCGTGCCGGGCCCGGTGGGCGGGGCGTCGAGGCCTTGTCACGCTCGGGTCCGTGTGAAAACGGGGTTCCGAGTGCAAAGCAAAGTTTTTTTGTAAACCGTCTGCAAAGGCGGGGGGGCGAGGAAGGCGTCCGAGACCGGGCCGAGTGCAGCTACCGTGGCCGCCGCCTCTCTGGCTCTTAAACCGTCGGCTCCTCAGCCCGAGCCGCAGCGAAGACCGAGAGCCCACACATGCTCGGAGCCTTCCCGGCGCAGAGCTGCCCGTCGCCCGCCGCCGCTGCCCGCCTGCTCCTGCTCCGGCTCCTCGTCCCCCGGCCCCGGGAGCCCCAGCTTCCCGCCGCCGCCTCTGCCGC